CGCAGTACATTGGGATTTGGCTCTTATTCTACTGCTCACTTGGTTGGTTATATTTATGTGTCTGATCAGGGGAATCAAAACATCAGGAAAGGTAAGTACACAGTATTACTGTAATATTACCCACTGAAGCATAAATTCAAATTTACAGTAACCATGTCTAGTTTAAGTAAAAGTAAAGTCTATGAATTTGTAATCAATTGACTTGTGTGCAGATAGGTGAGATCAAATTCAACATTCAAGACCAGCTCAAAAAATGAATAGTTTCTCTCCAAAAGATGTATCTTAACCAAATACCCTATAAAATGAATTCTTACATTGTTTTCTACATGTACATTACAGGTTGTGTATGTAACAGCAACGTTTCCATATATTGTAATAACTATACTCATATTACGAGGTGTAACTCTACCAGGATCTTTAAATGGACTAAAATTTTTTTTTATTCCAAGATGGGAATTGTTGGCTTCTGCTAAGGTAACTAAAAGATGGATAACTTAGATATATCTTGATAATGCTTACAGTACTCATTTCGCACAACCTCCCGTCCGCTTCCGGACCGGACAATTTCCGCCAATTTTTTTCGACCGCGCAAATCCGGAAGTATCCGCTCGCGCAATCGCTCGCTCGCTCGCCTGACAGCGCAACCGCCCGCATTTACAGTTCATTACCTTCTGTTTCATGTACAAGTGTATCATTTTTGTTTTTATGATGTTAAAATAAGAATAAATACAATCAGAAATTTATAGAACGACCGTTGAAAAAATACGGTGGATCACACGGCCATATAAAATTGGTAATAATACATACACGTAGTAATAATGTCCACCATAAACAAGATCGGACCAAACATGTGAAATTAAATACGGCACTGACACAGACACAACTAATATGAAATAAAACATCTATATTTGGTGGAGAGCGAAAAATGTCTACCTGTAGAGTACGGTATTCGTCGAGTAAACGTGTGTAGGGTGACAGTTGTCATGCATGCATGGTTTGGGTTTAACACGGGTCAAGTTGTAGTTATGTTAAAATCCGTGGCACCAGCTATAACAATTGAAGAATGTCGGCATGAATAGTAAGACTGAAAAAAATCAACCAATCGATGATAGCTATTCATAAAGGGTTTTTTTTTTTACTTTTCATATAATACAGTAGTCACACAATGAGGCAGTTCATATTTGTCTCAGTGAATCATTAATTTTTGACAGACACCTGTACAAAATACTTGGACAAAAGCCAGCTAAGATTTTCTGTTCTCTTGCATGTTTTATGAATCTATTCACGTCTAAATGCAGCACTTTTTTTCTGCAATGAGGCATTTGTTTTTATACTAAAATATCTGAATTACTTATTAGAAATTATGTCCCTTAAAATAATTAAACAAATAATGCACCAATGTTTTTGTAAGATATTTACATCTTTTAAAGACATTCGGTAGACTGATTCCCCACTGTTTCAACCCCAAAACTTGTTTGTATTCAAAATTAATTATGACAATGCATATTTATATTGACACAAACTAAGATAAAGGGAATTATATTATATAACAAAGGGCAAGGTCACCAGAGTTCAACTATGTTTGTCTTTCTAAACATCAAGTTTATTTTTGATTGACATTCAACGAGATCGTTTGAATTTTGAATTTGATGGCGGTTCGAATTTATCCACTTTTACAGTGATCAATATTGCGTTCGAGTTGAGTTACTAGTAATTACAAGCCTGATTTACATTTTTTTTGCAGTGTTTTTCGTCAATGTATTAAATTTTCGTCAATGTATTAAATATAAGTGCTTTGGGAAATAGTATAATTATATTGCATGAATGAAAGAGTCTGGTGAGACTGTGTCACAACACGTTCTATTTATTTCCAATGCGCGTGGTCGGCGCCTCTGATTTCGTTTATTTTGTATTTTTATTTTCGAAATGTATCACTGGCTGCGTTTGTTTTGTTTTATGTTTTCCTCAACAATTAACTGTTCCGAGATCTCTTTAATTTTTTGTCCGGCTGCTGCCAATCCAATAATTCGTCACTGCATGTACTCGATCAGACAAGCGAGTAATCGTCAGTCATTATACTAGTAGTTTAAGTCCAATTGATTTGTAGAAATTCAGCTATGCGATGATTATATGTGCAGTTTTGTTTTGCGCACCCGATAGATTGTCTGAACTACAGCATTCGTATTACTTATGCAAATTGAGTAAGGGTCATAGTGTGAGTTGCGTTCGCAAATAACAAAGTGTCAAATTATTTTGAGTGCCGTTCGGAATAAATTTAGTCAAAATCACACACAGAAACACACACAACACACAAATACTAGTACTCAATATAATCATGATTGATTGACCAGTTATATAGCTGCTTGAACTATGTACACAAGGAGGTAAATATGTAAATACAGGTCACAGTTTGACTTGCGTAGCAAACGTTACAATGTGTCAAGTGATTTGAAGGAGTCTTTGTCCCCCTTCCCAATACAGAGAAGCAATACGCATTGTATTTTGAATCGTCATTAAAATCGAAATTTATTACGAATAAAAACATAAGTTTATACATACAATGTACGATCATCGTTACTCCATCGGTCGGTTGGCAAGGGGACCATGTTTCTGAAGCCAGCCATAGCAGGAGCGAGCGAACAAAAGCGAGCAAGCGAGTGACCGGTTTCTGGTCAGAAAGCAGCGAGCGTTTGGAAATTAAGCGATAAGCGGTCGAAAAAAAAAGCTATGAAAGCGGGAGGTTGGGCGGAATGAGTAATGTATGTGTATGAGTTTTTTTGACAGCAAACAGAAATGGTATTCTTTCAATGAAATACAACTTTTCATACATTTTTGTAATGCATGTTCACTTTTTTCATTTAACACATACTGTCAAATTAAAACAAGGTTTTGTTATATAAAGATTCAATATAGAAAGAAAAAAAATCGTATTCATTCGCTAATTTTATTTACCTCATTACTGTGTTTTAATACTTTAACTAGTGAGTCAACCGAGCAGTAGGTAAAGATAATGCTAATTGGAATGTATTGTAATTGTATTAATAATTTAACCATTGGTTTAGGTTTGGAGTGATGCAGCTACTCAGGTATTTTTCTCTCTTGGCCCATCTTGGGGAGGTTTACTAACCATGGCAAGTTACAACAAATTCCACAATAACTGTCTCCGGTAAGTTCATGATATTTTATACTTAGTTTATTTGACCATTTTCTATCACAAAATAAATTATGAAGAGTGAAGCAAAAATGTAAAAGTGACTGCCTTTGGTTTGGTGCATTTAGTATCTTAGCATATAATGTCAACTCACTCAATTCTTGTATTTTCACAGAGATTCTGTATTGGTTCCAATTGTGAATGGTGCTACCAGTATATATTGTGGTATTGCTGTCTTCTCTATTTTGGGATTTCTATCTAAAGAAACTGGTGTAGAATTAGATAAAGTTGTACAAGCAGGTAATTTGATAGTGTGTACAATTAGATATAATCCATACAGATAATTTGATAATGTGTAGAATTAGATATAATCCATACAGATAATTTGATAATGTGTAGAATTAGATATAATCCATATAGGTAATTTGATAATGTGTAGAATAAAGATAAAGTTGTACCGCTTTACTACATCACCTACCAGAAAGTGTGTAGAAATAATAAATTTCATTTATTACTCGTTAAGCTTAATTACAGATTACAGCCCTGAACGAAAACAATTATGGTATATACCCGGGTCCACAAAGAACACCCTAGGGTAGCATTCCCTATAGGAAAAAAGGCCTCTCCTGAGGGGTCACCTACAGGGTGCTCGCGCTCGCTAGGCCTGATCTGTTCATTCTCTCTTGTTTCTGCTACAACGGGTGCAGATATTTTTCAGCTCCGCTGCTACACCTGACAAGAGTGCAGGTTACAGTTTTACTGACTGAGGTTATCTAGGAATCTAGTGTGGTGATTGACTCCATTACGGTAAAGGCTTTCCATTATTAGGGGCCCCTTTTTTTTACCTGTTTTAGTTGAATCGCCGGCTCAGTTTAATTCACCCGGATTCTGGCGCGGTGAATTTTCTTGTTTTTTCACGATCTCATTTCGTAATTTTTTCCAGACTGCAATAATGCCCAAGTCACAAAAAAATAAGAAGAATGTCCCGACGCAACAGTCGGGATGTAAGACATGCTCATCCTGCTTTAAGCTAATGCCTGTTTGGGACCCTAACATGTGTTGCCATTCATGCCTTGGTTGCGTCAGGGACTCCGAGTATTGCCTAGAGGGGCTCTGCGATCAATGGGACCCTAAACTGTGGTTGCAATGCGAGGCGAGGTTGAAAGCTGAAGGTAAGCGATTAAGGTAAAAGTCGTGATAAAAAGGGGCAATCCCTAGCCGCAGCTAGCGAAGATATGTCTGATTCAATGAGTGAAAAATCCGTCCTTCCACTTGGTAATCGCGACGAGGCTTTCCTCCAGTCGACAACCAAGATGGTTGGAGAGTTGTCACGATCTGACTCCCTGCTCGAGGTAGCGGGGTCGACGATTGAGACTAGACCTTCAAACCCGTTTATCTCTGAGATGGCGGGGACGCTGTTGGATAACGCGGAAACACCAGCTCACCTTGCTAGGTTCTGACTGAGTGCTCAGCAACAAACCTCGATCCTCAGGCAGATGGGCTGAGTCGCTATGTGCGATATCTTGCAAGTCCATACTGCCCTCTTGGCAGGAGCGGTTTCGGTTGAGTGAGAGGCAGTTCTGAGTCTGTGCACCTATCCTACTCCAGCGGGGGTCGAGTTTGATTGCCTGCGGAGAAAGCCTTGGAGGCATGACCGGCTCTTCGGTGGCCGGTTAGCATCCCTGTTGGCCAAGGTAGAATAGAATAGAATAGATTTATTCCACCAGAAAAAAGAGACAATTGTACAGGGAACTTTATCTGAATGAATAATAATAATATATGTATTATTCCTGGTGGGGACCAGAGAGGTAGTTCTAGCAGAACTAATCTAGTCCCTGGCCCCAAAACCATACTCAACTGTTAAAATATACGTTGTTGTGAATAGTGATACACAAAAAAAAATTATATTGTTAAGTTAAAAATAAATAAATAAATACATAATTAAGTAAGTAAAGAGACTACAAACTCTCATAATCAATAATAATGAAGAAAACAAAAATAGACAATACTAATACATATACTACAATAATGCAATATTTATACATTAGTTAAAAGATATTTTTTTAATGCCGTTTTGAACGAGTTTCGTAAAGTTAATATTTTTAACGAAGTTGGGAGCTCATTCCAATGTTTTACAAGAGAAAATGTCAGACTTTTCTTAGTTGAACTTAAATTAATTTGTGGTGTGGCAAGTTTCTCAGAGGTTACTGATCGTGTATGGTATGGATGTGATATTGATAAGGCGTAATGATCCAGAGAGTGTGCATGGCGGCCATTTTTCAAATCGTATGCAAATAAACATGTATTGTACTTACATAATTTATACACATCAAGAATGCCAAGTTGCAGGAAAAGTGGTGTGGTACTTGCTCGAAAATGAGAGAAAGAAATTAATCTGACAAACTTTTTTTGTAATTTAAAAATTGGATCAATATATGTGCTAAAAGTGTGTCCCCATATTTCTATACAATAAGCAATGTGTGGGAGAATCAACGAGTTGTAAAGTAATATCATAATGGATTTTGGTAAATAATGCCTCAAGTATGAGATTATCCCAATTGTTTTACTGATTTTTTTAACAATGTTATCGATATGGGGTCTCCAACAAAGTGTTGAGTCAAGCGTGACACCTAAATAAACAGCTGACGACACCATTCTTAATGACAAATCATCAATTGATAATACGCCCTCAATAGTTGTTTTTCTTTGAGCTGTCTGAAAAATCATGAAATTTGTTTTGTCAATGTTTATAGTTAATTTATTTGCCTGGTAGCTAGTCCTTCTGGTAAACAGTTCAAATCAAAACTGCAAGGTGGCTCAGGCAGTAAGTCCTCCGCTCGGGGCCACAACCAGCGAGGATCTAAGCACACGTGGTCTTCTTCGAAGGGGCAGAAGAAGACTAGTAGCGAGAAGCGTCAGAAAAAGCCCAGAAAACGTGGCTTTGGTGGTTGGCATTCTGACACTTCTGGGGACCAGGGGGCCGCGAAGTCTCTTTGAAGGTCTCGCTGACTGCCTGGACATGGATGGTGGTACGACTCCGGGTCTCCCTTCCTGGAGTCCTTGGGCTCAGTCTCCCGGTCCTCATCCTCCCATGCTGGAGGCTGGAGTTCTGGAAGCACTAGCTCTGATCCCCGTCCGCTCCTTGATCCCATGGGATCGCGCCTCATGCAGTACTTACCAGCTTGGTGCAGGAGAATTTCCAATCCCTGGACGCTCGCAGTAGTGTCGCGTGGGTATCGGATTCCTCTTTGGTCTCCTCCTCTCCTGACTCCTCATTCTTCCTCAGGTCTTTTGCCGAGGGACGAGGTCAAGGCGGAGACGATCCGACAGAAAGTAGCCAGTCTTCTAGAGAAAAGGGTGATACGCCTAGTGGACAACCCCCATTTATTCCCACAGTTCTATTCCCACATCTTCCTCGTTCCCAAGAGTTTGGGGGGGGTGTCCAGTCCTGGACCTCAGTCGGCTGAACGGGTTTGTGGAACTCAATCGCTTCCGGATGGAAACACCAGCTTCGGTACTTCTGTCAGTGCACTCGGGCGATAGGCTGGCTTCGCTGGATTTGAGCGACGCTTACTTCCACATTCCCATTCACCACTCATGCAGCCGGTATCTCAGATTCCCATTACAGGGCAACGTTTACCACCCAGCCTTTCGGTCTGTGTACAGCACCGTATGTGTTCACCAGAGTGCTAAGTCAGGTGACCCAGCTGCTACACCGGTCGTCGGTCTATCTGAACTCATCTCGACGACTGGTTATTACACAACCGAGACAGGGGGTTGTTAGTGGAGCACGTTCGACTGACGCAAATGCTCCTCCACTAGTTGGGCTTTTTAATAAATATAGCCAAGTCCAACCCAATGCCGTCCCATAGCCTGGTTTTTCTGGGTATGCAGTTCGACACAGAGCAAGGGCTTGTTCGTCCCTCTCAGGAGCGATCCGACTCAATTGCAGAGCTCGCCAGCCAACTCCGGTCGATGAGATCGGCGTTGATGCGCGAACTGATGTAGCTTATTGGCAAAATGACTTCAATTCGTCGTCTGGTTCCGTTAGCAGCTCTCCGGTCTCATCCGGTCTCGTCCGATTCTGTTAGCAGCTAACTGCCATCTTCACGCATGGATGCTGTCAATAAACTCGTTCAAGCGCAAGGCTTTTCTGCAAAGTTGTCCAAGTTCCTCGCTTCGGCACAGTCGGACGCCACAAATCCAGATGGAGACTGTACATTGATTTGTGTGACGGAAGGGAGATTGATCATCTCAGTCCCTCTATTAGCGAGGTAGCCGGTTTTTTCCTATATTTATTTGATCAAGAAAAATCTACAATTGACAACTCTTGGATATCGGTCTAAGTCTTTCCGCTCGAAGAGGCCACACACAAAGGGACTAGCGAATCCTCCTGACTGGGACTTGTTGTTGGTTCTAACGACGAGCCTATGGATAAGCGGGCATGAAATATGTCACTATGAAAATACCTTTTTTTTGGCTCTGGCGTCAGGTAGCGGTGCTCAGAGATAGGGGCACTGTTCTT